CCATATCACTAGTGATGAGGATAATAATTATGATAGGACTCTGCTGACGTCAGATGACGCCTCACGCAACAGCACATGGTCAATGCATACCGGAACACCGACCGAAACGCATTAACATCCTGCCAAAGCTCAATTCTTCACGTCACGCCAACACAAAGTCAGACGCTACCAGCCTGCCCCTGCAAGCGGGCAGCTCAGGAAGCAGTAAGCTTTCCTATAAATACCCTCTCGTTCATCAGAAAGAGAGGAGGGAGAGATAGACACACAAAAACACTTCTTCATCTGAAACCCCCTCCACATCTGCTAACTTGATCGTCGGAGGGGTCGGGCCGAGCGTCTCGGCTCGACCTTTGTGCAGGTGCGAAGCCGAAAGACCCCTCCAGACGCGCAGACGAGGAGTTCCTGCCCGGAGGAGACGGCTACACCGTTCCGATCGGACACCGCACCCGATCGCCTCAGCGGGCTCGAGGAACGCCCCAGGAAGGTCCCCGTCGTCCGGACCCGAACTTAGCCGCGTCGACCCCGAGGTCACGGCTCAAAGTTGTTTCCCACGACAACCAGTAAGAACAGATAAATAGAAATATATTAAGTTGCACCAGTGTTTTCCTTTTGTCGTAGAATCACCTAATGGATTGGGTTGAAATTTTGGTTCTAGGGACTTTAGGTATTTGGGATCATGTTCAATAATGTCCTTGTCTCATGGACTTTGAATGAAGAGGAGGATCAAGGTCAAATGGCTTCTGAGTTTATCCTATCTCCAGTCCTGTGTTTTGACAGCACTCGTTGGCGACAACTCTCGTAAAGCTCCCTTGTCCAAATGATGGAACTTTTTCTATAGGAGCAGTCAGTAGCTTTGTGATGTGTAGATGATGCCTTTTGCACCTCGTCCAAAGAACACCAACGATGGTGTCCTACTTCCTAGTCTATATGTGATGATATATGCCATGCACGCCTTGTCGTGGGTCCATTCGCATATGCATATATTAACCATACGAATGACATGGTCATCACTTCATTGCATGACCTTCCTGTCTCTTTGGACTACGTCGTTTGTATTCTGTCAAGATATAAATTCAAGTCAAGTATTAATCATTATGTCATGAACTTTATTTATATTTTATTCTGATTCTGCTTCCAATTTTTAGGAATAATATGATTCTAGTTTCAATTTGATTCGAAATCATCGAACCCAATCTCTTTCAATTCCGGTTCGGTTCGAACCGACCCTGCTTATATTCCTCATCGTTCAGACTCGCTCAAGACTTCCACTTCAACCTCACGTGCCAAACATTCCTCCGAATCCCCATCCTTTGTCATATATTCTAATGTCTCCAATCGAATGGTCATCTCCCATACCTAATCTCTTTCGCGCCCACCAATCATCCATCATCCATCATCCATCATCCATCATCCATCATCCATCCTTATCCGCCCACGCCGCCCTCTTTTCCCGAATCGCTACGTGTCGATCTGCTAGCGGTCGGACCGCGGGCCGCCGGTACGGCTCGGACCGGGTCGCGACAAAACCGGTGACGCAAGCCGTGACAGAATCCCGCCGCAATCCTCGCCAGGTACGTTTTGGGATGGCCTATGCGGGACACGTGTCGACCGGGCCCCGGCCCGAACCAGTCCGCCACCACGTTGTCTTTGTTCGGCCTGCCGTCCCTTCTCCCTCGCGTTGTCTTGCTTTCCCGAGTTTTAAGGCTCCGTCGCGCCTATTAATCAGCTCCACGATGATTGCTGATCGAAGGGAACCGGCGATGAACGGCGGGGGTCTGCAGCTGCCGCCCGGGTTCCGCTTCCATCCCACGGACGAGGAGCTCGTGATGCACTACCTCCGCCGCAAGTCCGCCGGCCTCCCCGTCGCCGTCCCCATCGTCGCCGAGCTCGACCTTTACAAGTACGACCCCTGGCAACTCCCAGGTAGAGCTTCTGATCTCGACCGCGTGTGATGCCTGCGTGGTCTGCGTCGGATGGTGATCAACCTGTGATCTGTCGTGACAGGGATGGCGTCGTACGGGGAGAAAGAGTGGTACTTCTTCTCGCCGAGGGAACGGAAGTACCCGAACGGGTCGAGGCCGAACCGGGCGGCAGGATCGGGATACTGGAAGGCGACCGGGGCGGACAAGCCGGTCGGAGCCCCCAAGCCGGTGGCCATCAAGAAGGCCCTCGTCTTCTACTCTGGCAAAGCCCCCAGGGGGCACAAGTCCAACTGGATCATGCACGAGTACCGCCTCGCGGACGTCGACCGCTCGCCCCGCAGGAAGAACTCGCTCCGGGTACGTATACACCGTTCCTGCCGCCTGTCACCGTACTAATCCATTCTCGTCTCTCTGAGGTGTCTCCCTTTGGTACGAAGAGCCAAAGCCCGCGGGCGTGGGTGACCACCCTGCTACAACTTGCCCAACGTTGGCTTCGCAGGTTGCTGCAGGGTGAGGGAGGCGTTGGATGCTTGTACCATTTAACGCGATTATAATGACCGGTAGTGAGTGAGAGTGATCACAGGAAATGACTCTAAAGAAGAAAACAAGTATGAGCGGGTTGACGGAAACAAAACGATATTAACATTTGGGACGTGTTGTGGTCTGCAGCTGGACGACTGGGTGCTGTGCCGTATCTACAACAAGAAAGGAAGCAACGCCTCGGACAAGTTCGGGACCCGGGACCGGAAGCCGGCCGGGTCCAGGTGCCTCCGGCCGCCAGAGGATAGGAAGCCGGCGCTCGGTCCGCACGCGCCGCTGCCGCTTCCGGCTGGGATCGCCCCTGGGCCACTGCTGCCGGCCGAGTTCGCGGACAGCTTCGCGCCGTCGGACTCGATCCCGAGGCTGCACGCCGACTCGAGCTGCTCGGAGCACGTGCTGTCGCCAGAGTTCACGTGCGAGAGGGAGGTCCAGAGCCAGCCACGGTGGCGCCCCACCGAGTGGGACTGGGCCTTCGCTCCCGCCGCCAACTCGGTCTTCCCTCACCCCGAGCCGGGTCTGCTCTCGTCCGAGTTCGGCGACTCGTTCCAGGACATCCTCGTGTACCTGGAGAACCCCTTTGAGCCGTACGCGCACTACGTTAGCACGTAGCGCCAACCGAGTGGACTCGGGGCCCGACCGTGGAATCGGCTGGACGAGGATTGCGGCCGTCGCGTTGGTCTGAGTTGACTCGTGGATCCATAAATTGTCATCAATGCGTGTGTATATGTAGATTGGTTCTTTATGGGTATACACTGCAATGGCAAAATATTCACTCTCCAACCCTCCAAAGTTTACAGATCTAATGATTTGAAGCCCCTGCTGTCATCTGAAGACAACCCACAATCCCAGGCGTTCCCTTTCCAGCACAAACGTACAACGCTGGTATCATCGTCCATAGCGACTCTCTCTCTCTCTCTCTCTCTCTCACATTGCCGGCATCATCCATTCCTACGAGCTGGCATCGACAATGAACTAAAGCCTCTCTCTCTCTCTCTCTCTCTCTCTCCTGTCTCTTCTACAACGCAAACACAACGTTAGTATCATTCATTCCTATAAGCTGGCATCGACAGTGAAGAGAAGGCCTCTTTCTCTCTCTCTCTGCGCGTGATCATGACGTTGCCAAAAGATCATACGATCACACCGCACGTTACGGGGTAAAACAATATAGAAAAAGCTTCAAGTGGAGTGCTCACGGATAAGATCTCCGGTTGACGGACGCCAACTAGTGTCGGCGACCACCACCGCCCCGGCACCCGTGGGGCACGTGCGTTCGGTGGCCTCCCCACAGCCCACCGACACCTCCGCATTTACTCTATTATCCTCGTGCCTTCGCCGATACTACATCGATGCCGTCGCTTCTGGAGTTGTCGTTGAGTCCGTGGACGGGATGGGCATTATTGTCATTTCGGTTATGTATCACAAGTGGACATTTGCCCGTTGGAATTGCCGTCGTGTCTCCACTCTCGCTTCTCGACATCTTGTGCTCCCTCGCATGTATGTAACTTAAACCATACCTACCGTAAAAGACAGTTTAGCTCATTTATATCTGCATCTTTGTTTCTTTATTCTCCGATTGTTAAATTGGATCGCAGGAACATATGCGACAGAGTCCCGACAGAAACCGGGTTCGCATCAAAACTACCTGACTTGTGATTGGCCAATGAGTGGCCCACAACAGCACGAGTCGTCAGCCCGATGGTATCTTCAAGTCATAAGGCAGGTACGAATTTGCGTAGAGCAAAAACGTATCATTTCTATTTATCGAAATAAGAAATAATGCGCCGTTCCCCAACACACCTTCTCTCGGACTCTATAAACTGCCCTCACTCGACTCGGAGCGAGATCTAAACCTTCATGGCGTCGTCATTCTCTGGCCTTCGATCCTGCTCCGCTTAGATCCGAAGTGGGTCGCAGCCCGAGAGGGCGAGAGGGAGAGGTACGAATCCATGCTTCCTGTTGTTCGGTCTTCGGGGTTCCACATTCGTGCTTCGTTTTCGTGTCAATTTGCCCGCTGTATCGACTTGGTTCTTTTTGCTGCTTTTGATACTTACTGTACGTGAGCCCTATCGTAGATCTTTAGCTCTGGTGAGCTTCCCCTTCTGTGCTTCTTGCTTAATGATGGGAAAGCTTTTAGCTTGGCGATGTTTTTGCTTTTGATCTGGTCAGTGCTGCTTGATTTCAGTAGAACTGATACAATTTAGTTGACGGCTCCGATTTCATGGTTTCGTTTCGGTCTATGGTCAATACTTGGTTCAATAGTGTAGATATGCTCGAATTTACCCTTCTCGCATCTTGTATATTCTGTTCTCTGGTTTGGATTTCGTTCTGTGCTTGCTGGTGATTGATTCTGGAACTGATTTTATCTCAAATTGTCATCGAGGCTTTGTCATTTGCCTTTTCCGAGATGGTGAGCGAGAAAGTTGGAATCTTTTTTTTCCTAAAGTTGGTCACTCTCATTATCGTGTTATATAGATACTTCATTCGTCAAGTCCATCTTCCAGTAACTAAGAATTTTTTTCCCCAATGCATGTAGAAATATTAGATTCACCTCACCCACGCAATTCTTGATCAGTTTGTTGTTTTGGTATGTTTGTGGTCGTTTAGCTTCACTTAGCATTTGATAGATCTCCTTGTAATGGACAGTTCATTGAAATATCAAGCTTTATGACCGATCTGTATCATGTCCTCGATAACAGGAAGTTTCTCATCCATGTTTCCTATCCTTTGCTAGATTTTAGCGTCATTGTGTACTTGATGAACGTGATTGTTCAGGTTGTCGTCGAAGAGAGAGTGATGGAGAGCTCATCTATGTTTCTTAACTTTGTTGCCATCTCATAATTTCAAGTAAATAATTGCAGGGTAAATCACACATAGTCAGACATGGCATTTGGGAGAAGTTCACGTACAGACACAAGGAGGACATCGTCGTCGTACTGTTCGACGATGACTCTTGTCGTATTTGTTGCCCTCTGTTTGGTTGGGGCATGGATGATGACATCCTCAGCCATGGCTCCAGCAGAGGTGCCTTCATCCGCCACCAAATCCGACATGAGTGATAAGGTTTCTCGGACTAGTTCTAACCCATACAAAGATGGTTCAGATGATACGAGTGAAGATTCAGTTAGCGATGATAGCAGCAGTGGTGAAAACAACATGCCTAATAAATCAGATTCTGAGTCAGATAAAACATCTGAGAAGTTGGAAGAGAAAACTGAAGAGGAAAATCCTACCAAGGGAAGTGATGATATTAATAATGACTCAGATGATTCATCGAACACTCAGAATGATGGTGATGCAAATGGGAACAAAGGTGGGGAGACAATTGAGGAAGCTGGAGATGCCAAAGAGGGAAATGACACAGGTGATGAGGAACGTGGTCAAGAACAGAAGCCCAAGCCAGAGCAAGACGAGAAATCCGATGGTGATAAAACTGAGGATGGGAAAACTGACGGTGTTATAGAGGAAAAAGTGGATCAAAGCTCTGATGAAGACAAAGATGGCAGCCAGTCAAGGGACAAGGGTAACAATGAGGTTTTTCCTTCTGGGGCCCAGACGGAGCTTTTGAATGAGACCAGTACACAGAATGGAGCATGGTCTACCCAAGCTGTAGAATCAAAGAATGAGAAGGAGATCCAAGCTTCTTCTTCATCCAAGGGTCAAACTATAGAATACAGCTGGAAACTGTGTAATGTCAAAGCTGGAGCAGATTATATCCCTTGTCTTGACAATGAAGCAGCTATTAAGAAGCTTCACAGTACCAAACACTATGAACACAGAGAGAGGCACTGTCCTGATAATGCTCCAACATGCCTCGTTCCTCTTCCTGATGGATACAAACGATCGATTAAGTGGCCCAAGAGCAGGGAAAAGGTACTTGCTTTGTCTGTGTTTGCATTTGATTCTTCATATTGTAAGGCTTAATGAATTTCCATCTTTTATGATCACCGCAGATATGGTACAACAATGTCCCCCATGCTAAGCTTGCTGCAGTAAAAGGACACCAAAATTGGGTGAAAGTTTCAGGAGAGTATCTCACGTTTCCAGGTGGTGGAACCCAGTTTAAACATGGTGCACTTCACTACATTGATTTCATCCAAGAGGTTCACTACTGATCTTTTTACATGAATGCTACTTGCACTCTTTTTGACTTGAGCATTTGTTAGTATCTTCTTGGGTGATCAGGGTTGCTCATTTGCGATCTGGGTGACCTGAGTCACCCAAACAACTTCTCAATTATAGAGGTACTGTTGCATGCATTGACACTCCCACATCGGTGGGAGGCTTGTGCACTAAGTTCGTCCTTTATTTTGTTTGTTAGTCCCTTCTTGACCATGCTCTCTACGTATTTGAGGATTTTTGGTTCTTGATTGGGTCTTCTTTGTGCTTCTTTTACTTATATGTAATCTTCTATTGTTCCTGTTGTGTTCATGCTTGTGAATTTTGGTAAAAGAAGCCTTCCAGCTATGGATCAATTTAAATGTATAATTTTTAGATTGTGGACAAATTGCATCACAATTTTGTATGGCATGACCTATTTGGTTCTGTATATGCAAAATTGTTTAGGAGAAATTAAGTAGGTCTCTTTGTTACAGCCATAATGGCTGTTGACTTTATTTTCCGAAGTTATTGCATCTTGTATTTCTAGTTTCTTATGAATGGAGTGTTTTTAATTTTATAGCATATATATGTTAACTACACTTGGTAAGCATTTTTTTTCCATTTCACTTGTAATTGCAGTCATTGCCCAACATTGCATGGGGAAAACGTAGCCGTGTCATCTTGGATGTCGGATGCGGAGTGGCAAGCTTTGGTGGATTTCTATTTGACAGAGATGTGCTGGCCATGTCATTTGCACCCAAAGATGAGCATGAGGCCCAAGTGCAGTTTGCTCTTGAGAGAGGAATTCCAGCAATATCAGCAGTCATGGGAACCAAAAGGCTTCCATTCCCGAGCAAGGTCTTCGATGTTGTTCACTGTGCCCGCTGTAGAGTACCGTGGCACATAGAAGGTAGTTTGTCTTCACACACACTGTTGCTATTTTCTTTATAAAATTGACTTTTGAACTTATAACTTGCAGGTGGTATGCTTTTGTTGGAGTTGAACCGGTTGCTGCGCCCTGGTGGTTACTTTGTCTGGTCTGCCACTCCAGTGTACCAAGACCTTCCGGAAGATGCTGAAATTTGGAAAGGTAGAAGTTACAAATCATTTTTTCCCCTTATTTAGCTATGTTGCAATAGATTTGTTGAAACAGTAACGGTGAAGTTTTTGGACAATGTGCCTTTGTACTTTGTTTTTTTTTAGTATTCACAATCTTAATTTCACCTAGGAGCAAATCATTTTAGTCTAATTTTCAGTCATTTGACTATAAAGTATAATATCAAAAGCTTGAAACTACATCCTTCGAGGACAACTTAAAATCAATGGTTGACATGAATACATGCATAGTCTTCACCTGCTATTTATGAAATGCATTCTTGTAGAAACATATGCTCAAGTTTATATAACTTCTGAAAATTGTAACCAGTTATTGTTTTGAAAACTCATTCCAGCTATGTCTGCCTTGACGAAATCTATGTGCTGGGAGATGGTGACAAGGAAAAATGACACATTAAACCAAGTAGGGTTGGCTGTTTACAGAAAGCCTTCTGACAATAAGTGCTATGAAAAAAGAGCAAATGAAAACCCTCCTCTGTGTCAAGAGTCTGATAATCCGGATGCAGCTTGGTATGTTTATTATCTTCAGAAGTGGATCAAATGACTGTCCATTTGGTAATTGTTAGCATTTGTATTAAATTTGATGCCTACTTATATGCATTCAGGAATGTACCTTTGCAAGCATGCATGCACAAATTGCCAGTGGATCCGACTAGTCGTGGCACAGTGTGGCCAGAACAGTGGCCACAAAGGCTTGAGAAGACACCTGACTGGCTGAGTGGATCACAAACTGGGGTTTATGGAAAGCCTGCACCTGAAGACTTTCAAGCAGACTATGAGCATTGGAAACAGATAGTTGGCAAATCTTATGTCAACGGGATGGGAATCAACTGGTCTACCGTGAGGAATGTCATGGACATGAGATCTGTCTATGGAGGGTAAGCAAATAGAATGATCGTTCTACTTTTGTGCAAACATGTACTGTAAAATAATAAATTTTGGGTAATTAGAGTTTAGTGCTAATTTTTGAGCGATTAGAGCGTTGTGCTCTTCTTCCACAAAATTAAGGCTGTGTTCTCTTGGTCACTTTGACTTGCTAGGATATTTGTGATGAACATAACTCCTCTATCCGAATTTATTGTTCCACCGTCCTCTAGGATTATCCTGGATCAATTAGAGTTTGGCGTGTTGTTACCTTATGCATGCTAGTTGTTTAGATTGTACTTCTTTTATATTGATCACCTGGTCATTTAGATCTTTTTTCCTCTTTTAGTCGGTTCTTACCTAATATAAAGTTAACCTATTCAAGAATTTATTGCCATAGTTAGAAGCCTGTTTGACACAGAACTCTTGGCTCTGATATTAAACTTATAGGATATTCTTCCTTGACAAGGGGCTTCTTACTTTCAGGAAAGATAGAATTTTCGAACTTATAATAGTATCTCTCATTCTATGCTAAATCGAGTAACTCAATGCTCATCATTTCTCTGGTTTTTTTCTTACAACCGTGATGCTTTATGTTGAATGGAAATTTTGATGCTGAATCCAATAACTATCCATGTCGTGTGTCTTAATGCTTTATTGTTTGTCTTGTGAAAGACATTTTTCAATTGTTTCCTGATACAATTCGGACCCTTTTTTTGTTATTATTTATGAGGCGGTATCATGCCCTTTTTTACCGACCTTATTAATCTTTCAGCTTCTATACATTTTTCTGGTTGTTATTTGCAGTTTCGCTGCAGCATTGCGGGACATGAAAGTCTGGGTAATGAATATTGTCTCGATTGATTCACCTGACACACTTCCTATTATTTACGAGCGTGGACTGTTTGGGATGTATCATGACTGGTGTGAATCATTTAGCACGTATCCAAGAACATATGATCTTCTCCATGCGGACCATCTATTCTCCAAACTTAAGAAAAGGTTATTTCCTGACACTTCTTATTTCAAATAAAAGTTTATAATTCATGAATTATGCTTCATAGTATTATCAAGCATTCACTGCTTAATGTAACATGAACTAATGATTCTGTGTCTATCAAGAATACCTTTGCTCCTCTGTCTATGATTCATAGCAAAAATGAAAGATGATAAATCTAGACTTTGTGTTTTCTAATAATTTGACTGCTGTTTGTCTATGTTGCTTAATTGTTATCGATAGAGGGGGGTGAACTGTTGCGTAGTCATGAGACTCAGAATCTACGATACTTGCTTTTGTTGATTAATATTAATTGTTTCTGTGGCATTACGCCGTAGGTGCCGATTGCTGCCAGTAATTGCTGAGGTGGACCGGGTACTGAGACCTGAAGGGAAGCTGATTGTTAGGGACGACGCCGATGTGATTAGCGAGATAGAGAACATGGCAAAGTCTCTCCACTGGGAGATCACACTGACTTACTCAAATGATAACGAAGGATTGCTGTGTGTTCAAAAGACAATGTGGCGGCCGCAAGATACTGAAGCCAGCATGTCATCGTTGTCCTAACGCCTCCTTGCAGGTGGATGGAATGAATTTTGCTGGTTCTATTTCTTCATCTTTAACTTTTGCTGCTTGTCACACCCAAACTCGCATCAAAGAAGAGGAGCTCTCAAATCACAGAGTTTTAACTGTAAAACTATGAATTCTTTCCACCAATCAAATATTTATCCATTCTTACTAAGGGATAAATAATCTAATATTGTTGCGATTAGCTTAATGCCAGTCCCCATGTTTCCCATAATATGATAAGCAGTTTTGGCGTTTTTGATCTGATCTTGTTGAGGATACATACATGTGCAAGTAGTCCCAATTGTTTTGTGGTTTTTGTGACTTGCAGAATATCAATATGTGCTGTCATCGAATATAGAACTTGTGGAAAACCTATCATGAATTAGTCCAGGTTTTGATTGTGATAATGTGGAAGTGATCACATCAATGTGGCAACTGTAATGTTAGGCAAAGGCATTAGCTGGCTCGATGGTGAAAGCTTCTGTACCTCATTAAGTTCTTGTCTGGTTGTAACGTGACCTTCTATGGTCAAAGGGTATGCGTTCTCTGTAGCCTGTGCGTTGGAGTGGTTCAGCCCCAAAGTGTCATGCAAAAGTTGTGCACTTTTGGAGTTACAAGAATATTCATATAAATATTTGATAGGAGAGAGAGTTTAAGGAATATTTATATAAATATTTGATAGGAGAGATAGTTCGTAACCAATCCGAGTTACCTCATGGATATTTGAAAATATTTCAACGAATATTCTACAAGGGATGTTGTTTGTAATCGACTTGAACTGTCTCCTATACTATCAAAAATATTTTTATGAATATTTTATAGGAAAAAAGAATTATCGACCCAAGTTACCTCCTGAACTCAAAAAAATATTCTATAAGAGAGGTTGTTTGTAACCGACTTGAACTGTCTCTTAGACTATCGAAAATATTTTTATAAATATTTTATAGAAAAAAAAATTATCAACCCGAGTTATCTCCTGAACTCAAAGAAATATTCTTACAAATATTCCATAAGAAAGACTACTTGGTAACTTAATTGAACCTTTTTCCCATGAGCCTTACATGGTTGAGTAATTATATATTAGGAACATACCTCTTCGATGCCCTAGATAATACACCTATAAACAATAGAAATTAAAAGAGATAAATGCCAAGCTTTGATTTGGTTTCAACTATTAGATTGTATCGATGTCAAGGTCTCGTGGTATTTCGATAGTATAACATAAGTGTGATATCAACCAGACAAACACACTGTGATCCCGAAGCGATTTTTATCTTCAACAGAAAAAGGTAAAACATATATATTAAAAGCCATTTGTACAACCTTTCCACCAAAAAGATCCACCAAAGAGGATTAAGAATCCAATATGAAATTGAAGGGAAAAGGAAAAAGAAAAAGAAAAAGAAAAAGAAAAAGACACATAACCGCAAAAGAAAGACCCTCGAATCTGATCATGTTCTTATCAGAAAAGCATATCATATTCATACATGTCAGCCATACAGAAAGTACACCTCTAATGTCAAATAATAACATTTCACTAACTAGAATTGAGGAGGATAACATGAGGCCAAACATCCAACTTTCAATCCGTGACACAAGATCTGATTAAAGAAAGAGCCACCAAGCAAATTGGCCTTATAAAGTGATGCAGTACATCACTTAAATATGGTACATAATCGAAACCTTTTGGCAAATAAAGTGATGCAGTACATCACTTAAATATTTCATAAAATGATGAGGAAAACACAATCACATCAAAATGACTTTGTTCAACTCCTCGGTGACATCATCTATGCTAATTACTTCTGGTTCCTTCCTTCGTATTGAAGAGGCATTGTTAACTGTCTGAAGCCGTTGTCTAAGTTCGGAAATCTGTTTCCGGATCTTATCCCCACTATCTGGTAGTTTCGCGACCAATGCCTATGACCCAATTTTTTAACCAGATTATGAGTAACTAGTCATATATTGCTACCCCGAATTACCAAAAATTACTTGTACCTTGTCTCCTAGAGTTTGAGAGAGGCGTTTAATTTTTGACTCTATATCTTCTGGACTGGCCGTTGATGAATTTGTCAAAATTTTAGGAGTGTATCTCCTAGAAATGAACTCCTTATCGTTTGGATTGAACGCATGCTCAGCCCTGTAAACAAAGAAATACTTTAGCATGTCTGTAAGACATGTTCTCCATAACTTTGTAGTTGAGCGTAATACCCATTGGACCAGCCAGATTGTGAATTTCTCACGATTCTGTTCCCCATAACACTGCACACAGTAACAGGTTAATACAGTCAGCATAATAAACTTTCATGAATTATCACTCTGCAACCGAAAAAGGTACTGATGAATTCCACAACTACATTCTCAAATATGTTCAATGCTAAGGGTCATCATAACTGCATTAAACAAATAAGGCACGTATCATGAAGATGAAATATTATGTATAGCTAGCGTCTCTGTACTGCAAATTATAGCAGACCAATCATCAAAAATGGATTTAATGAAATATGAAAAGGGAAAAAAAATATTTCTGTTTCCGTTTGTAGAAACATCTATTATCCCCATTCATGTCTAGATATTTTATGAAATATGAAAAAATAGTCGATTATATATTTAGAAGTTGTCATTTGACATTCCCTTACATAGGATGGTAGCTTTGTGCCTGATGGTATTGATGACTTTGTGCAATGGCCCAGTACATCATGTTTGGAAGAATCTTAAAATCAACAGCTTAGGAACATCATCAATTTCCATCTGTCAGCTATTTGGTCCTTGATATGCATATATGTCATATTAAAAATTATGACAAAGAACAAGGGCATCATAAATGAGCAACAGTGCTACCAAAGAATGCAACAGGTCGTGGACCATATGGTTATTGATCTTTATGACAATATTGTTTCTCACCACTCAACTTGTTGAGTTTGAATCACTGATCCAGAAACACTAAACCAAAATGTTTAGGACCAAGTTAAGCGATTTTTATAAACCAATCTAATTCTTTTCTCATTTTTTATGCATGACTAAACTGGTGTGTTATAATTTTCTACATAATACTAGTTTAAAATATAAGATTACCAACAAAAATATACTTCTTGAACTCCGGTCACAAATATGAGAAAGCGACTCATTTCAAACTAAATCTATGTTAAACAATGAGATAATACACTTTCCTATAACATTAAAAGGAACTTTGTATGTCATAATTTTCAAAAATATAATTATTTGTAATTATAGTTATCCTTATTCATAAGTGATCAGAAGCGCCACCAATCAGCAAGGACAAAGCTAAGCACATTAAAATATATCATCATGAAAATGAACTAATAATGAATAACCTTAGGAAAGTGAGCTCAAGCATGGCACAGATATGAAATGGCATTGTAACGATATCAGAAAAAAATATCAGTATATTAAAAGTTTTATGCCAAGAAAACTCAAGCATGGAACAAATATGCATGAAATTGTATAACAAGACAAAGTAAGCTAGTGCTATGACAAGTAAGGTGAATACTGACCTTTGTATTTTGTCATTCTCATGAACAGTAGGCACCACTGCAGTCTTAGAGAATAACAAACTATGGTGACTAACACCAGCAATACCTAGTCTCTGTAGAAACTCTATATGCTTCATCAAATAGGCATTCCTGACAAATGTGAAACATGAGAACTATTAAATTGCGACCAATCCATGTGTCTGTAAAATTTTAAAAACCAAAATTTGAAGATTTATCAAAATATGATCACTAGTTGATGACAGCATAAACATTATGGACCCTTGCTCTTTTTGAAGATATAACAAAAAATAATCTTGCAACAACATTGTACTATAATCTTTAATGCACAACATGCTCGTCAAACTGTGAAGCTGAAAAGAATCAGTACATATTATGTTGCTGATCATGCTCCTCTTGTAGCTGTTTTTGAGTGAGTGAAACATCAAATCCTTGTTCTGGGAGTCTAAAAAGCTCTTGAATATCCTATATACCATATACAGTAATCAACATGCTGTTACAAAATGAAAGAAGTATTCATTTATAGAGGGACTGCAGTACGACATTAATAGTTTCATATCAAAAGAAAAAAAATTAACAAAATTTTCTGAAAATACCTTCTGGCTGAAATATCGAGTCTGTTCTTTGTGCTCTGTAGCCGTCTTAAATAAGCCACCCTTGAAGACCTGCAATATTTATTGACTTTAATAAAGTACAAAATCAGCAACAAGACTAACAAATTATTTGTCAGCATAGGTTTGGCACTTTTGAACTTATATCTCAAACAAAAAGTGGCTGAAAACAGGCATCGTCAGAACCATTTTGATCGAGTTATTACTACAAATTTGAATATAACAATACAGTTAGAACTCTTCAGACACAACAGTGGGTTGCATAAAAATTTTATATGAATAAGACAATGAAAAGAAAATTGAAAGAAGATAAAGTAGTGAAAAAGGTAACTGTTATGATCGATAAACTGATCTTGAACATAACGAAACAATTTGTTATAATCACTGAAAATTGTATGGGATATTATCCAAGAAACAAGAGTGATCATAAGACAAAGAATAGCTAATTAACACATTCAAAACAGTAAAAGGAAACAAGATTCCAAGGTCTGACCTGCATTTTATAAATCTTCTCTTCAATTGTTCCACAAGTCATCAATCTATAGACAAGGACATCATTCTTTTGCCCTATTCGATATGCACGGTCAACACTTTGATTATCCATACTGCACAATAGCCAAAGAAAGCCAAAACTTAAACAAAAAGACCAAGAAAAAAAAAAATCAAATAATTGCTACCTTCCACCCACTCTGATAGAAACGAGGGAAAAAATTAATATTCATTGGAAAAAAATTGAAGTAAAATAAAATGCATATTAGAAATCCCATAAAAAACATTGACATGGCACATGGTGGCTACAGGCAGCTTAAACAGTAGCACAATGAAAATTTCACTAAGAATTTTTTCCTCCTTTCATGAAGCCAATGTAAGAACCAGAACTAATAATTCACAAATGTAAGAAATTTTTGTGGTTGATCTAACCGATACATATATAACTAGCAAAATTCCCAAGAACCTGTACATGAAAAATATTTCTATTCTAAGATATTAGTTACATAGTTCAATTAATAACAACTCCGTAACATGTAAAAACAAAATAAAAAAGTGGAAAATTTGCACAGAGAACATCTAGCTCGCAAATGGAACAACAAACAACCATGTTTAAACTCTATCTTATGAATATTTGGCAGAACTAAAAACATTAACAACAGATGACTAACACTTGTAAGGCAAAAAACCAGTTTTACAGTATTTGTTTATTGTTTCAGAATGGTACATGAATTCATGCATAATGAATCTCCCCTTTTCATGATAAAGTTTTAAGTGAAACACACTAGAAAAGAACACAACACACATCAGTTCTACGAATACAAACACATTCCAGAACTTCACAACTACATAACTCTACATGGCTGTTAAAGGGCAATAAGAAGTATTCACAAGAACCTCTCTACAATTTTTATTATTGTGAAGTTGAACAAACCTAATAAAAACAAAAATCTCCGAAGACTTCATTTATATGTCACTCTATCTTTCTGAATTATTTGATTTTATTCAACCCAAGAAAACCTTGCAAGAGAATAATTATTTGCTATTCTTCAGAACTAATGATATCCCAATGGCAGCATTATAATAGCCAATTAACCCTTCACATAAAGGTTCCAGAGGGAGGCTCTCACAAGGCATGACACATAGTGGCAATATGCAAAAGCATATATGCACAAATTCCATTTTTTCCTTCTTTTTTTATGTTTGCAAATGGTAAGAGATGATGACAGGATTAATCTCAAGACCTTGCAAATTGACATCTTCCAAATCATGCATTTAAATTACAATTATTTATAGCATTTAAAATAAGGATGTTAATCACATAATCCATTTAAGAAAACAAATGCATATTATACTTTATTATGAATTCAGAAAACTTAGCTACAACATCATCATGCAACATTTGGAACTTGACCACTATAAATTATTTAAATATGAAACAAGAACCTAACTAAAAAGACCAGTATGCTAAAGGTCGCCAGTGCACAAGACATTCCGCTAATGTGTGGTTTGAGGAGGGATAACCTACATAGCCTTACATCACAAAGGACAACCTTACCATGATACCAAAGCTCACCCATTAAGTTACAAAGGGTCATCACACTCATAAGTTCAAATAAAAAACAAATATACGATGACAACGTTAACAATTGATATGTTTAGGCAAAGAACTATTATCCAAATATAAGCTGTCCGACTGACCTTGGATTCCATGCTGGATCAACAACAATAACACGATCTGCTTTAGTAAGTGTAAGACCAAGTCCACCAACTTGTGATGTCAATAAAAAAATTGGAGCTCCTGGACCTTCTTGAAAATCCTAAAAACAAGAAACAGTACTAGTGACATAATGCAGAAAAGAAACCATGAAAGATGATACATTTGTTCAAAAAAGATGAATCAACCTTGACTATTCTCTCTCTCTCATGAATTTTTGTAGTACCATCAATTCGCAAAAACTTGTAACCCTCACATGTAATTGCTTCCTGCATAGAACAAAACTAATAAAAGAAGTGCTGTAACGAATTGCAGGTAAAATTACAATCTAAAGTCCACTGTTCGACAAGAGCTTTCCAACATTTGGATTATGATACATATTCTTATGCTGTGGGAAATTCTTCTCCCTGCTATTAAATGGGAGAGAAGCTACATCATGACAGACTAAAATTACTAACTTAGAAGACCCTCTATGCCTGTCAACTATAACCAAAACAAGAAAAATCTAAAACAAATTCAAATCAAATGCTATTAGAAATTTTTTATTGGACAAATTTGACATCAATAGTTCTATATTTTGCCTATGCCACCTAAAAACACCAAACCTATAAAAGCCTTATAAAAAGTCACTTTGACCCAAGGTTTAAAATCTCATATGGTGCTGATACTGGAGGATGACCATACATAAATGGTATCAGTGTGAATCAGCATACTGACTCATTCTGGGTTAGTACCAGACTGTAGAGAAAGAAGAAAAGAGGGGAGGAGGAGGAATGATAAGACAGGGAGGAGGAACACGAGGGATAGAGAGAGAGAGAGAGAGAGAGAGAGAGAGAGAGAGAGAGAGAGAGAGAGTCTGGACGAGGAAGAGTGACAAAAAAGATAGTTGTCATAGCAATCAATTTTTCTAAAAAAAAATCAAAGTTATACCGTTTG